TAAACTAACTAAGGAATTAGAATCAGTTGACCACAAACTAGCATTTCTAGATTGTCTGGTTGAACGTCGACACAATAATAAGAAGTTAAAAATAAATGTTTACAGAAAATCAACGCATTCCGAGAGATACTTGGATTTTAATTCAGCCCATTCACAGAGCACGAAAATTAATGTAGTGAAAAATCTAATGAACAGAAGTACTAAGATTGTTACAGACAAGGAAGACCAAAGAACCGAATTAAATAAAGTATTTTCTACTCTGAGGGATAACAACTACCCAAAAAGGTTTTTGAAAAAGATTATTAAAAATGAAAGAAAAACTAAACTAGAAAGTATACGAAAAGAATGGAAGTACACCGTAGTCATACCTTACCGGAGTGAAACATCAGAAGAAATCAAACGGATTCTAAACAAACATGATATAAGAGTGTATTTTAGAGCAAATAACACATTAAGATCGACATTGGTGAAAGTTAAGGACAAGTTAGCAAAGGAAGAACAACAGAACATTGTGTATGAGATTCACTGTCATGACTGTAATGCTACCTATGTTGGAGAAACATCCAGGCAATTAAATGTAAGATTGAAGGAACACAAACAATGCTTGAAAAATGTTCCAAAATCCTCGGTAGATTTAAAGAAACTTGAAAATATGTCAGCGATAGCGTTACATGCGTTAGAAACAGGACACAAGATTAATTTTGAAGGGACCAAAATACTTCAGAAAGGTTTTAACACCCATAAAGAAAGATTGACAGCAGAAGCTCTGCATATATGGGCGAACAAGAACAGCCTGAACCGAAAAGATGGTATTCAAATGGCAACTACCTGGCAAATTCCGTTTGACAAGTAAATTTGGAACCTATCTCTTGTTTAAACCTGTTTTTAATATCACATGCATCGTTATTATTATTGAAAGAACTGAATGAGTTTCTAAACAATACAATTTATGTTTTGACATGCACATCGATCTTTCATTATCAAGTTTTTCATCCTTGAACTTGAACTTTATTTATTCCTTCATATCAATCTCTCACACATGCATACATACATACACACTCACACACATACGATTTGTTACTCAGTTAAGTATTTCCATGTAGTTGAATTCATTACATGATTTGTAGTCAACTGACTCATTTTATCCTATTTTACAAAAAATCAACACCCAAATATGATTGGTTTAACACAGTATAATCCTGATTGTTAAAAGCTACATATTTCTTTGATAATTTTGATTTTGATTATTACCCTGAAGAAGTCCAGACAAGTTAGCTGGACGAAACGTTGGAATTAGTTAAATTTCAATCGCTGAGAATATTTCAAATATAATTTTCACATATAAAGAGTAAAGCATGCTTAGAACACTTTGAGGAATTCTTGATTTAGCCAGCTCCATTGAATCTGTAGAATTATGGTCTACCATGATATTAGTACTGCTCTAATAATAGAATTTATCCTAAAATTATTGACTTGTCGTTATATAACTTATCTATAAGATCTTACGTGGAAGTCACATCATCGTCTACACCAACTCACTGTATCGCAGCAATTAGCAATACATGATGTAGAACAGTCTTAGGCTAGAGAAGGAGCAATTTATTTAATATGAATAAGAGATATAGGGTAACATTCCTCAGGTACCATGGTTGCATGGCCGAGCCATGCCACCCGATCAACTCCAATTAATTCAACCCAATGTTCCCGCCTTTTCCATCGTTAGGTATTTCTCCGCGTTAAATATTGAATATCTATTTTCCCAGTAGTCTCGTGTTCAGCTTTGAGGATTGTGTGGTTATGGTCCAACGCCACAACAAATCCTCTGAACGTCGAAGTATCACACAAACACACCTCCCTGTATAATGCGCCCCACCGACGATCGAAGAAACCAAGGTGGCCTTCAGACAACTCAGGAGTGAGAAAACCGTAGGATCTGACAACATACCGGCTGAAGCACTGCAGTCAGGCAGAAGTAACTGCAGACATGCTTCACACTGTATTCAGGAAGATTTGAGGGGAAAAACAACTGTCGACAGACTGGAAAGAAGGACACCTCATCAACATACCAAAAAAGATCTGAGCAAATGTGAAGACTACAGGGGCATCACGCTACAATCTGTATCCGCAAACGCTTTCATCAATTTTTTCGCTGAACTTGGTGAAAGACTCAGTAGATGCTCAACTACGATTTTATCCATAAGGATCGGTTGTATACAGATCAATCAAGACAATACGAATAATTGTTGAACAAAGGAGAGAAGATGGTGTTCATTACCAATAATAATGACGACGGAGAGATAACACCATATCTGTAGGGCAGAACTTTACGTCAACTCACGGTTTCCTTTGGCCTAGCGGGATGTAACTAACCAAGTGTATTGATGCCAGTTTTCCATGCCGAATACCTGGAATTAGTTTTACTCCTACTGCAAGCAAATCCAGACTATTGCGCTAATCTAAAGCCCGCTCACTTATCCATAATTTTGCGCGGTTAAAACAATAATAGCCATGAAAAGAGGCATTTTTGTACCCACAAATCAAGCTCTCCTTCCTACGTATTTGAAATATACATATTCTTAAACTTTGAGCTGTTTTGAATTCCTTCCAGTCATATAGTCCCCTACCCATTCGCCACCATACTTTTGATCTGTCTTCTTCAAGAAATCGAAATGCGCGTGCGTAAAAATGAACCTAGTAAATGTAAATAAGTCCAAGTATTCATGCCCCCACATTTCCACCACAAATCAGCCGACTTTGTCGATAATAACCATATCCTATTTTGTTCTCGTCTTTTGTTTTCTAATCTTCTCTCAGCATATCCGATATACTACCAAAAAGCATTTAAGGAACACATGACTTCATCCTAAGCTTTCATTAATACCTCCGGTGATTCGATTGCGCTTAATATGAGCCTGGTAAATGTGTTGCCTGTGTACACTATCAAGAGGCACGGAGTAATACGTTAATGTCTCCGTTTTCAGTTGACCGATTTCGCACTAAACGCGTTACGTCTTGTTAGAAAGAGCTTTGGACTTTACCTGCATTCATTTTCGACCACCAGTTGCTTATTGCAGCAAAAAGTCCATAAAGTAAGTCAGCTTCCACATTGAACTTACTCATTTCACCAACATTATTCATTTACTAATGTAAGAAGATTGGTCTCCCCGTTTCTGTCACCAGAGTGTCTTACAAAATATCAACCTAGCTTAATAACAAATTACCATACACCCCGTAACATTTATAAAAATTTAATCTTGACTGTAAACCAGCATGCTTCATATAACATATTATTGTTTGAAAATGAGCTATTATGGTTATTATTGATCAGCTGAATGAAACTCGCAACTATACACCAACTTTCCTGACTGTGGGCAGGAGTTTGACGAAATAGACAGGAAACCTGCCCTGACACTATAATGTACCTTTAAAGAATTTATCTTCAAAAAGTCTAGTTAACAGAAAGTCTATCCATCAGTTGTTATGCACACACCACCTCCATTTGAACCAGGATTTATGGACAATTGCCAGTGAGTGGAACGTTGATTCCAACCGATCTAACTAAATTCCAGCATCAGAGCCAGACGATACTGGTATTTCAGTCTTTAGTAATAAGGATAGGAGGTCTATCGACCTATATTAATCCTTGCAGTTTGTAATGCTATGGAGGCCCAATCTAGTTTAGAATATATTAACAGAAGGTGCTTATATTACGTGTTCCGCTAGAGAATTCCAGTAATTCACTATTCGGTGAGAGAAACGAAACCCCAGACGTAGACGATTTGATCCAGATTTTTGGACTTTCTTCGGATATACTCGCAAATGATCAGTCCTAGACGGAAGCAAGAGATAAGACGGTAAGATAGTAACGATAAGATGTTATTCATCCTAGGATTATGAAAGCTATATCATATGAAATTGCTGAACCATTAGCGATACTGCCTGACATGTCTCTATGGCAGTCCAGAATGCCCAGAGGCTGGAAAGACGCTATAATAAGTTCGGTGTATAAAGTCGGGAGTAGGGATTTAGTTAGCAACTACAGGCCCGTTAGCTTAACTAGTGCAGTTGTAAAACTGATGGAAAAAATCATTCGGATGTCTATCATAAACTATGTTGAAGGGCATAATCTTTTCTCCAGGGAATAACGTGGTGTCAACGGGAAACGATAAATGAATACACTACTCTCAATTCCGTTACTTATTTCATTTGCTTGCAGACATATTGAAGTCAAGAATCTTGTTCTTGGGGCTGAACATTTTGTTCGAACTAATTTTTGTATCGTAGCAACTGCAGCGGTTATTCAACATTGTTGTAGGTTCAGCACTTTAAAAATAAATTATTGCAGCGAAACTTTACAACGTTTACATGACGTCAATGATAGGAAGCTAATATTCGTCAGGAAATAAGCATACAGCCTTGTATTTGTTCACTGTACGTACTGGAATAATTTAATCAGTATCTTTAAATTTAATAAATACGCAAAGAAACAGATTAAACATATTTCTCGCACCTTTAAATAGGTCTTACGCCTACATTTTGTTTGAGATCATTAAAATGACTTTATTCGGTTCTTATACTCAGCCAACCCAATCTCCCAATTTCGGGGAATATTTGACTCATTTCAGGGAAATTTCGGAGGAATGGCACCAAAACCTCAATATTTCCCCAAACCTTCCCCTAAACCTTTGTGAAGGTCTCTTGACTTTCGGGATTTCCTCAAAATTTTCGAAAATTTCTCGAAACTTTGGAAATTGGGAAGTAGATACCAAGCGAACTGTTTATCAAAAATATGTTCGAAGGGTGTTATCGTTTTGGGGCCCTTTTATTTGCCGTCATTCAGATCGGACGATGTTCGTTGAAGGGCTCACCATTTTAGTGGCCCGTAGTTCTCGACTACATTTTAGAGCGTACGAATGATTGTTATCGCCTATTCTCGTATATCATCGTCGACTTCAGTCTTCAGTCTTCAGTAATAAGGATAGGAGGTCTGTCGACCTATATTAATCCTTGCAGTTTGTAATACTGTGGAGGTCCAATCTCGTTTTGAATATATTAACAGATGGAGCTGATATTACGTGTTCCGGTAGAGAATTCCAGTAATTCACTACTCGGTGCGAGAAACGGAACTCCAAACGTAAACGGTTTGATCTCGGTTTTTGGGCTTTCTTCGAATGTCCTCTCAAATGATCAGTCCTAGACGGAAGCAAAAGATAAGACATGTTAATACCAAGGTCATCGTTCAGTATACGATAGGCCAATATTAGATCACCCCTTATTCTACGATAAGATAACGGAAATAAGTTAAGGTGTCTCAGTCTGTCTTCATAAGATAGGCCAGCTAGACCTTGTACCATCTTAGTAGCTCGTCGTTGGACTCTTTCTAGCATATCTGCTTGAATCCCGTATTCTAAATGTGATCGCACATAAAACGGGCATAGTAATCCAAACATTTCATCATCTAAATACTGGAAAGACCTACGAATTGACCATAGTACCCTATAGCCTTTCGCAGCAGCAGCCTTACAGTGACTAGTCGTTTTGAGATCATTGCTTAATATGACTCCTAAATCTTTATAGTTTCTTACTTTGGGTAGCACGAATCCACGTAGTGTATAGTCATACGATTCATCAGAGTTATTTAACTGCATCACTACACTCTTATTAGGATTTACTTCTAGTGACCACCTATCTAACCATGCCACCAATGAGCTAAGATCGTCCTGTAATACTATCTTATCCGACATGCTATGTATGGGTCTCCAAATCTTTATTTCATCAGCGAAGAGTAGAACGGGTGATTTTGCTACAGTTGGCAATTAATTTACATAAAGTAAAAAGAGAAGAGGACCTAGGATTGTACATTGGGGAACCCCACCTTTTACAGGTACCCACGAGGAGAGAGCCCCATTAACCCTTACCCTTTGTCTCCTGTCATGGAGAAAGTTACTTATCCAATCGACGACTGTATAATGGATTCCAAAACGTTTCAGCTTGAATTTAAGACCAGAGTGTGAAACCTTATCAATGGCTTTACTTAGATCTATGAAAATTACATCCACAGGAGCATTCCGATCCTTTGCCGCAGCCCACTCTTCTTGTGCAATGAGAAGATTTGTCAAGCAAGATAGGGCTTTCCGAAAACCATGTTGTGCCCTGGAGAAAAGATTTTGCCATTCAACATAGTTTATAACAGCTATCCGAATGATTTTCTCCATCAATTTCACAACTGCACTAGTTAAGCTAACGGGTCTATAGTTACTAACTAAATCCCTACTCCCAGCCTTATACACCGGACTTACTATGGCATCTTTCCAGTCTCTGGAAAGTCTGGACTGTCTCAGAGACATGTCGAATAGTATCGCTAATGGTTCAGCAATTTCATCTGATATGGCTTTCATAATCCTAGGATGAATATCATCGGGACCACTGGACTTATCAGGTGTGAGAGGCTGAGGTAGCCTTAAAACAGTATCTTTCTCAATGACTACAGGATCCATCAGCGAGCCGTCACGGTCGCGACGAATCATTGGTCGTTTCTCATTACCGATAGAAAACACTTTACTAAAGTACTCCGATAAAGCTTCAGCTTTTTCGGCATCATTCTCTGCTAAGATTAACGGATTTTCTCGTATCAAAAGTGATGGAATTCCATCACTTCTCTTAGTTCGCCTTTTTATATACGAGAATAACCGTTTTGAACTATATCTAGAATCCCTAACCAACTGTTTTTTGTATGATAGTCTATTTTTACTTATTAACGCTTTACAGGCATTCCTAATCTTACAGTAACTGGATCTGTATTGTTCTAAGCCAGTAGAGATGAACATATCCCAGTGATTCTTCCTTTTTCTAAGGAGTTTCCTGACCGTTTTAGTTATCCATGGTGGACTATTATTCGGTCTTCGCGATACCAGGTATGGTATGAACGGGGACGTAACTAGTCTAAATTTACCTTTAAATACAGACCATGCTTCTTCAACTGATATGCTAGTATCTACTAACCAATCTGTCTTAGCAGCACATTCCTGAATGGCTGATATGTTAGCTTTCCATACATTTGGGCGAGGTGTAACCTGATCGTATAACATGTCCCTAGTTCGAAACGTGAATGACAAAACAGCGTGATCGCTGTTCACTAACGGCGGGAGAATATTTAAGTCGAAAATATCCTCAGTCTCATGAGTGATTACCAAATCCAGCAGAGAAGAACCCTGGTTAACACCAAAACGTGTGGGTTGGGATACATGCTGTACTAGTGCATGCTCCATTATTGTCATCAGGAACTTACTATCAAAGGAGTTTATAGATCCTTCTGTGGTCATATCAGTCCAACTAATATCAGGTGCGTTAAAGTCTCCTATTATCAAACATCTGGTATTTTCACTCCAAATATGAATGTGCTCTAAAACAAAGTCATCAGCTAGGCAGATTGGGCTCCGATAGATGACACCTAGCATAAATGTACTACATCCTATAGCCAAATTACAGCTAATGACTTCACAAGTGCCGCTATCATGGGATTTGCTAATAGAGGAGCGGATATTTATGCTATTGGCTATGTATAACAGGACGCCGCCTCCTTTCCTACATCTATGTCTATCACTCCTGATGCAATGGTATCCGGATAATTCTGGAGTAATGTCTAAGTCATCGACTAACCAAGTTTCTGTCACTGCTACTATGAGTGGCTTTAACTTGTCCACTAGTGCTTCTAGTTCATAGAACTTATTTCGTAGACTACGAGCGTTGGCATATAAAACTCCTAAGTAAAACAGCCTATCCACACAGGCTTTGGTAGCACTCGCTTCCAAGACATGACTATCCGAAAACCCACTAGCCGGAGATTTTCCTCGCCGTTTTGCCGACGGGTTTCAAGCTCAGCTAGTGCTTTCTTCCTTTTTATTCTATCTTCAAGAGATATGTCAGGTCTAACTCAGATGTCAGAATTGTCGTGACAACGAGCGCTACTTAACAAGAGATCCCGTTGCTTCTCCGATCTTAGGATTACCTTAAGGAGGCTGCATGGACGGGGTTCAACATTGTCCTCGGTCCTCTTGCCTATTCTTACCAACTTTTTAACCTGAACTCCTTTGGAGTTATCTGGCAAAATACTACGAATGTATTCTCCTAGCTTTTCTAAGTCATGCGCGTGTCTAATTTTCGGATCAGGGTCATTTGACTCCCGCAATTTGCTCACAATAATATTCGATGTTATTAGATTTTTCTTCTCACTTACGCCAGGATGGGTTTCACTCTTACGATCAGATCTTGGTAGTGCAATTTGTGGCTCACAATTTGAGTCCACCAGTGAGTTACTAACTGCCTGTGTACTGCTTACAGCTTTTTTCTTTTCGTTTCGTTTCCTACGTACCGTAGTCCATTTTTCATCCCTCATAACACTGGGACTATTTGGAACGGTGACTGTTTTATCCAGATCTACGGTTCCCACTAAAGGTGCATTATTAACAATGTCAGTACTAGGTGGTACTACGCCCCCTGTTAATATCAACGAAGATTTCACTTTTACGTCGGTCAGGGTCGGTTTTTTGAGGCGTCGCGTAACAAGACTGACACATTCGTCACTGTCAGTGCCCGTGTTGTCGGCGCATATGCCATCATTCTTCTTACAGGCCAAAGCCAATAGGCTCATAGCCTCCTGTATTAGCAATGCCTTGTTGGCACAGCAAAACATGCAAAGCCAATGTGAGTTAGGCTTCGAACATCTTTTATATGCAGTGGGACTTAAACGGGTGCACATTTTGTGGAACCATTTATTGCATTCGTCACACTGCATTCCCTCTTCCACAGGGAACAAACAGTTTGGTTGTCCACATTTGTGGGTACTACCAACCATTTTAGTCTGATTAAGGTGTAATACACAATATGATCACAGTATGAACCACAAGACAAATTCTAGCAAGATGTCAAACCTTAACTAAAGTACTTTAAAGTATCAATTGATACAGACCAAGAATGCTTTCGAATGTAATAAATACACAAAAGCCAAAAAACTCAGTAAAAAATCACCTTAACTGGAGTAGATTCAATTAAAGTGTAAATCGTAGTTTTGATACGTAATTTACGATCAAAACAGTTTAAAAATTTAACGAGAAACAATACCACTGTCCTTTTTAGATAGCGCGCGTCGTCACGTTAGTCAATAACGGAATTTAGATAAGTCAATTAACGAGAATGGCCTTTGAATACATATATTTTGTATGTAAAGTGAATGTAATAGAACAGAGCAAAATGACGCGCACAGAGGATGGCTGGGAAGCCAACTCCATTTTAGTCAAGCGTTACTCAATATTTATAGTCAGACAAATGAAAGCTACAGACGTGATTAATGGAATAAGAAGGGCACACACATATACGCTCATATAAAAACAGTTAAGACTGACAAGCGAATAATTGACAAGGTCAACATATGACTCAAGTAGAATGAATAGAATGGAATGTCCGAAAACTAGAATAAGATATATTATGGGCTAAAACTAATGACTAACACTACAATCGTAGTAATGAAACAATGAAATGCCAAATATTTATATTGAGTAAGAAACTAATTGAAAATAGTATACAAAGCTAATATCGGGTAGTTCGAACATTATGGCCCTGTAAATTGTTCTTTCACTTGTCAAAAGTTATACAACCAAAAAATAAAAATTATGATGCATAGTTTCACAAATAAATACATATTCAGAAAAGATCATGAGTTTATGTACTTGTTTTCCAATGGCTTTCCTAAGCTTCAGACTATCCATTTATCTAACCAACCGATCAAACTTTAATGAATTAAAAAATGATAGTCAGCTTCTCTTTAGGACTCCCTCTAAGATGTTGACGTAAGATTTTAAATATAGCAAGGTAAAGTTTCAAGCCAAGCGTCTTCTCACAGGAACTGACGGAACAGATCAAAAATACAAAACAAATGTCTAACCAAATGAGTCTATGTTTCAAAGTTGAGCCATTCTTTTTTGCATGGGATGATCGAGTCGTTTAACTGACCCTTATTGCTGCATATATTAGCACGTTGGGTTTTATCATCTTTAATAATCACTTAGCCTGACCAGTCGCTCACGTTCAGTATAATTTGGGCTTTGTAAATCTAATAAACTATACTATACTTCCGAATCCGTTTTTTCATAAAATTTAATTTCATTAAAGCAATTCAAACTTTGTTCAAAACTAATTTTTAGTCGTAGAACTTGGTCTTAGGTTTTTCTAGGTAAATTGTCAAACTGTCAGATTTTAAATGGCAACTGTAACAAAACCGGATACAAAAAGAACGTATCTTAGTTGGTTTGAAAATCTCCACACTGAAAGAAAGGCGGCTGAAGGTTATCGGAATATATCATATGATCATCGTCAATTGGTTAGAGCTACACGCATCGAAACAGATATAAATACAAAGTACGTTAAAATTAATGCGTTTGATCTAGTAATAAAGTTTAAAACACATAGAACATAACATTAGAGTGCCATTGGTAAATCTGTTTATATTCTTTCCATTAGGTGCTTTTTAGTTATTTCGTTACACTTATATGATCATATTTCTGCGGCCTAGAGATAAGTTATTTATCGTCTGACATTTATTCCTCACTCCACATTGACCGTGTTATAGGCAGGTCTGACAAATTGGGTTTGAGAAAGTGCTTGCTATCATCATCTTTTCTCGAATTTTACATCCTATTATTGTTTAGTTATAATGAGAAGTTAATTGAAAGGTTTTTTCTTTACTCAG